TTCCTGTAATGCGCCTCTTATCGTTTAATCGAGTATAAACATTCAGAAGATTTTAGGCAGCCGAGTTTTCTTAGTTAAAGAGACCCTCCGAAGCGGTCAGTCATCTAAAGCTAGGATGTAGGATAATATGTGGAGAACTTCCACTCTATTTTAAAATATTTATCGTATAATTGAGTGAATATTAGCTAGCCAAGTATCCTTACCCTCTAGCTGAGAACGCATGCAACATTTAAATGCTACTTTTCATTTTAACCTTGCTAAAGTAGTGTTTAAACAACAGCGCTCGATGACGATAGTTCTCTGAAATGCGCCATGCTTTCAACCTCCAATCATGATAGTAATTGATGCCTATTTCCTATGATTTCGGGGCTGACCCTGATGAAATACTTGGCTCAGCCGTAGTCAGCTCATTATAGGAAAGTGCTGAATTAGATTGGCTTGCACTCACAATCAGTACTTCTGTTTTGTTCAACTAATTAAACGATAGAGTAGTCTAAGGAGCATTTCTTGGAACGCCTCGCGCGGAGTTCTTGCCCTGGATCACAATTGAATTAGGAATTTAATCCAGATAAATTGAATTCGATCTTGAGAGGGTGTCTGAAGAATTTCTGAATGAAATAAAGCTCTCCCAGGAAAACCCTCAAAACATCAGGGAATAGGTAGTGGACATGACTGTGGGAAATTTGGTACTATACATTGTTTTATGCACTTCCATTCAGTAACAGTTACGCATTGAGGTCAGCGTCAAGCGTGCGTTGTGAATTCCGCAATGGAGAGGAGGGGGGGGAAGCGTATTTGTATTGGTGACTGTGTGCACGCACTCACAAGACTGTTATGGCGCGCCAGTGACGCTGTTTACTCGCCCCGCCCACCCGGCACTCTCGAATGGTGTCTTTAAGAAGCAGAAATCGGGGGTGTTCTAAAGGGGGACTAACAGTCAAGACAGTTGGGGATGTTCTAAAGGAGCAGCCCGCTGATCGTACGGACCTACCACTACCCTTTTCTCGTTAAATCCGTTTCCTTCTTACCGCACTAGGGAAGAGCACCGCATCAATGAGTATTTATCAAGCCAGAATTTCCTCCTTTTCCGGTCCTCACTCCGCCCATACTTTCAGTGTGGAATCTGAGCATACTGTTTTTCTTGTGTTCCTCTGCCTCCCTTCAGTTCGAAGTCGCTCTCTCCCTTCTGACTTCTTCAAATGCCCAGTAGAGCAGTTATAACCACTTATAACATTACAGTAATGAGTATGTTCAGGTTTCTTCAGCGGTTCTCCTTCGTTGGACCTTTACGACGGCACGGCACTGGCGGCTAAGAAACACGCAATAGTAGTGAACATAAACTATCGGTAAGCTGTGCTGTCCGAGCTCCATGTCGAAGTTTCCGATTGTTCTCGATCTATTCCAGATTGGGACCATTCGGTTTTCTCTACCTCGGAGACGATTCACCAGTACCAGGAAATATGGGTTTGCTAGATCAGCAAGTGGCTCTACGTTGGGTGCATGAACATATTGGTAAGTAGAACTGACAGATTTTTCTGTTGTTCTTTCTGTGTTCATCCAAAGCCGAGTGACGTTGTTTGGTGAATCGGCTGGCTCTGCATCAGCCACTGCTCACATTGCCGCACCAGGCAGCCATCCATACTTCAACAAGATAATCGCCAACGTTAGTTTTTTGAATGCTTCGCTTTTGAGAGCATATACCGTATATGGCCAGCTGGCTTGTTTGAAAAGCAAGGAATCACAGATGGCTAGGCGGATATTCCAATACTGAGGAATTCAAAGCAAGTTTTCGGTAGCCCTGGTAGGAACCACCGCTGTGCATTAGGCAACTTCAACTCTGCTCGCCGACTTTTTTGTTCTTGTCCCACCTGTCGTCCCCTTCTAGAATGTGCTGGGCGAGGGTTCTTCAGGAAATCTCGTCTCAAGCGCGTACACCAAGCTCAAACTCCGAAGCAAGGCAAACTTCGCTATAAGGCCGTGGGCGGAGACTCATAACCTTTTCCTCTTCCACTCTTCTAGTACGCAACTTCCAGTGTAGTAAAAAGGAGAGCGCCAACGAGTGAGGAACAACAGCAATAAGTCTCCGCCCATACCCCGAACCATCAGTAGACCGTGGAATGGGTGCTGTTTGTGTAGTGCTCCTGTTCGGGAGGGGCAATTCGAAACGTCAGCCTGACGTTCCCAGGAGCTCAGGGTTCACACTGCTTTTCCTACGCGACGATTTCCAAGTGCCATTAGGAGAACTGACAAAACTCATGTTTTCAGAGCGGAACGATACTCAACTCGTGGGCAAGTCGAACGCCAGACACCATGCTCGAGTTGTCATTAAGGCTTGCAAAACGGCTCAATTGTACAACGAGAAGCACGGATGCCACAGCGATACACAATTGTCTACGTGCAGCTCCAGCCAGTGTTATACAGGTGAGAAAGGCGTCCTAGGGTTGGTTGAGATGAAAAGTAAAAGGATAAATCTTGCTCCGCTGATCAACCCTTTTCTTGGGATGTGGCACCCATTTTACTTCAATTCAGAATCATAATCGCTTTCCGAATGCACAATCGCTTGCGAGAGCCAGCCTTACATTCTGTGTTTTTATCCCCGCAAAGTATTACACAAGTTCACTCCTACTTCTACTTGGTAAACGACTTGGTTGACCTAAAAGCTAGCCTATCCGGGATTCCATCCTGCTCCGCGTTTCTGCTAAGCGGTTCACTTGCCACTATATTGTCCGCCTCGAGGTTAGATGTGGTCAAAAAATGAAAAAAGTTTGTATTCAAAATTTCGAACGAAGTACGTCAAGACCAGGGAAGAGTCCCAAGAAGTCGAGGTCACTTTCCGCGTTAAACACAGGAGTACGGCGGGTATTAGTAGTGTATCCTTCGTTTTCACGGCTCCCTTCTTTTTGAAATGGTAAAAGGGTGAACAAAGGGCTGCGCCAATGAACGCGGCACCATGGTGGATCCGACTTCACGAGCTACAGTACTAAACCTATGCTGTCCCCTTAGCCTACCAAACGCCTCTGTTAAATAAATAATGAGCCACAGATGCTCCGAGGAACTGAATTTAAGACCAAGCTCAAGAACTCCAAGTGGATGAAAGTGGAGGCCCATTCCGATACCAGCGTCAAGGCCAGGTTACCTACTTCCGACTGGTGAGGAACCCCGTGACTAAAAGTCGCAAATGTATCAGGGTTAATGGCTAAAAGGCAATGGATCGGAAAATGGTGGCACCTGATTGGGACAGCATACCCTGCGACAGTGCGGGACTAACGCAAGAGAGAATGAGAAGAACAAGATTCTTTTTGAGGCCTTGTACTTGTTACCTGTCACTGTTCCACCCTTGCCCTGCATCGTTATATGTGAAGAGATTATGTCAGTTTCCCCCTCCCCTTTCCCCCAACCTATCTACCAGCTTTCTAAGTCTTCCCAATTAACTACTTCTCCTAGCTTTCCAGGTCTTGCCCAAAAACTGCCATTGAGCGCGAGGGGGGGGGGGGGGAAGCGGGATGGGTGAATTCGTCACCATTCGACTTCTAGTCAAAATCAGTTACCGAAAACAGCGGTCATATAGTAAATTTGCGGCGCCGCAAACCAGGGGCGAGCAAGAAAAGTCGCGAAAAGT